CCACTGTGCTGAAGTCATGGCCAGGCTTTGGTAAGGAAGAGAGGAGATAAAAAGCAGCATTCGGTTGGCAGAAGTGAAAACTATCCCTCCCCACCCAAAATTCCCTTGAGTAGTTAGAACAAACAGGCAGGTTTTAGCAGGGCTGGCTGAGGACAGAGTTCGTTTGCTGAGGAAGCATTCTGAGCAATCATCTCAACCAGCACTAAAAGAAATTCCTCAACACAACAAAAAAAGTCAACTTTCATGCTGCAAGCATAGCTGGGAAAGAACAAGAACGAGATCCCTCACCCCACGAAGTAAAATTAAAAAAATAAAATAAATCAAAAAACAAAATAATAAAAACTTTAAAAGTGCATACATTCCAAACAACAGCTGTAAGCAGGGACAGCTCTCCTGCATTCATCTCCAGTCAGGACATGTGGTACAGCTGTCCCTGCACCCTTGGTCACTGAGCTTTAGGCGATGGCTTAGTTGAAGAAGGGAACTTTTTTAGGTATCTATCAGAAGTCTTTTTAGCACAAGGAGACGAGTGGGTTTGATTTTCATCTGGGGAAGACTTGGCTTTGTGTTGAGGTAAGACAGAATGCTTTTTTGGATTTGGGGCAACCTCCTTGGTTGGTGAGGCTGGAGAGTTGTCACTTTTCTCCTGGCTTAAACTTTTTGTTGTTGTAGGTTTCTTGGAAAGTATGTTGGTTTTTCCCAAATCTGCCGACCGTCTGGTTTCTTTTTGCCTTAGGGCAGATTTAAAGAAGCTCAGTCCTTTCTCCTCTGACTTGCTGTCCCGCTTGAGACCAGAACGAGATGTACTTTGAGGAGCGCGGAGGCTGGCCATAGAGGAACTACGTACTGTCCGATTATCTGCTGGAGAATCGCTGCTCTTGGGTTGTGTGGCACGGGTAGTGCTACTGCTAGGTTTTGCTGCACAGGCTTTGTCTGAGCCCAAGCTTACCTTAGACCCCTCCCTGCTAAGAGTCTTTTCAGGTGCTCTATGTTTGCTGGATGTGCTTGACACGGAGTTCTTTAAAGTTGAGGCAGGTTTCTTCTGTGCCGGAGAGGAGATGTTGCTAAGGGTGGAACTCGAGGTTCTTTGCCTCTGTTGAGATACAGGTGTGGAAACTTCCTGTGGCTTCCCAGAGTCTTTCCGCGCTTGCGTGGATGAACGACGTGTGGGGGTTTTAACTTCACTCCTTTCGCTTCTTTTTGTTTTTGCTGTGGGTTTTCCATTGCTGCCTGCTGTCACTGAGGTGGGTATAGAAGAGTCCTTCTCTGTTGCTTGTGTTGTTTTACCCTGCTCTGTGGTTGTTTTACTAGTAACAGGCTTATTACTATGTACTTCTTCAATCTGGGGTGAATTCTCCCTTACTGGGGAGGAATTTACAGAATCACTTTGATCCACAAATGCGATATGGTTATTATTATCTATAGGATCCAGTAGTGGGTTCCTGCCCACTAGCTCAGCTGCACTCTTTCCAGATGGTTCAGCTGGTACAGCCTTTTTCACCACTGGTTCAGGCTGTGCACCACCTTCTGCTAATGCCAAGGGAGCCCGAGTTGACGTCCGATACTCACGTTTCACATTTTCAAGGTGATCGTGGAAACTGCCAGACAGATTACGAAGGCTTCCAAAACAAGATGTTGACACATGGTCATCAGCCTCACCAATTTTACCGAGTGAAGAACCATGTATGGGGGAATCTGAAGGGTGGCGGCAGGAAGTGGCTGCCCGTAGGTGAAGTTTTGCTGCTAGTGACCATGATGGTCTAAATCCATTCTCGTTGGAAACCAGGGGACTGGTAACTGAAGACCGCCCTGAGCTTTGACGCTGCACGCTTCTTACAAATGGACGCGAGGAGAAGCCACCTACAGTGGAAAAAAAAAAAAACAGAACTCAATCTAAAAAAAACGTATTTAACCTTTTTGTGCTTGTGCATAAGCTGTCAAATTTGTAAACAATTTAATTAAAAGTGGTTCTAAAGGCTGAAGGCTTTTTTTTTACCTTCATGCATTCTAAGCATTAATGTAAAATACTTTTAGTATACAGTTCCCCCACCTTACACTTACCTGAAAGATCTCAATCCAGCAATGTGCACACACTCCTAGCTCTCTCCATCCTCATTGGCTCAGACACAGCAGCAGGAGCTATTGATTTTGCTTTCCTTTGAATCACTTAATGAATATTTAGTTGTATAAGCACTGTTTCTGAGAACTGCTGTACATCTGTGTTGCATGGAGTCAACCAACCTCTGGCACCTGTGAACAGGTATTCCAGCCCAGGATGGTTGGACTACATTCCACAGTTCTTCTCTATTTCTTGGTTTTGCCTCAGAAACTGCATTTTTGATGTCACCCCACAAGTTTTCTATTGGATTAAGATCCGGGGATTGGGCTGGCCACTCCATAACGTCGATCTTGTTGGTCTGGAACCAAGATGTTGCACGCTTACTGGTGTGTTTGGGGTCGTTGTCTTGTTGGAACACCCATTTCAAGGGCATGTCCTCTTCAGCATAAGGCAGCATGACCTCTTCAAGTATTCTGATGTATTCAAACTGATCCATGATCCCTGGTATGCGATAATAGGCCCAACACCGTAGTATGAGAAACATCTCCATATCATGATGCTTGCGCAACCATGCTTCACTATTTTCACAGTGTACTGTGGCTTGAATTCAGTGTTTGGGGTCGTCTGACAAACTGTCTCCGGCCACTAGACCCAAAAAGAACAATCTTACTTTCATCAGTCCACAAAATGTTGCGCAATTTCTCTTTAGGCCAGTCGGTGTGCTCTTTGGCAAATTGTAACCTCTTTAGCACGTCTTTTTTCAACAGTGGGACTCTGCGGGGCTTCTTGCAGATAGCTTGGCTTCACATAGGCGTTTAATTGTAACAGTACTTACAGGTAACTTTAGACCTTCTTTGATCTTCCTGGAGTTGATTGTTGGCTGAGTCCTTGCCATTTTGGCTATTCTTCTATTCATTCGAATGGTAGTTTTTCCGCTTTCTTCCACGTCTTTCAGGTTTTGGTTGCCTGTGAACAGGTATTCCAGCCCAGGATGGTTGGACTACATTCCACAGTTCTTCTCTATTTCTTGGTTTTGCCTCAGAAACTGCATTTTTGATGTCACCCCACAAGTTTTCTATTGGATTAAGATCCGGGGATTGGGCTGGCCACTCCATAACGTCAATGTTGTTGGTCTGGAACCAAGATGTTGCACGTTTACTGGTGTGTTTGGGGTCGTTGTCTTGTTGGAACACCCATTTCAAGGGCATTTCCTCTTCAGCATAAGGCAGCATGACCTCTTCAAGTATTCTGATGTATTCAAACTGATCCATGATCCCTGGTATGCGATAAATAGGCCCAACACCGTAGTATGAGAAACATCCCCATATCATGATACTTGCGCAACCATGCTTCACTGTGTACTGTGGCTTGAATTCAGTGTTTGGGGGTCGTCTGACAAACTGTCTCCGGCCACTAGATCCAAAAAGAACAATCTTACTTTCATCAGTCCACAAAATGTTGCGCCATTTCTCTTTAGGCCAGTCAATGTGCTCTTTGGCAAATTGTAACCTCTTCAGCACGTCTTTTTTCCCCAACAGTGGGACTTTGCGGGGGCTTCTTGCAGATAGCTTGGCTTCACATAGGCGTCTTCTAATTGCAACAGTACTCACAGGTAACTTAGAACTTCTTTGATCTTCCTGGAGCTGATTGTTGGCCGAGTCCTTGCCATTTTGGCTATTCTATCCATTCGAATGGTAGTTTTCGCTTTCTTCCACGTCTTTCAGGTTTTGGTTGCCATTTTAAAGCATTTGCGATCATTTTAGCTGAGCAGCCTATCATTTTCTGCACTTCTTTATATGTTTTCCCCTCTCCAATCAACTTTTTAATCAAGGTACGCTGTTCTTCTGAACAATGTCTGGAACGACCCATTTTCCTCAGAATTTCAGAGAGAAATGCACTGTAACCAGCATGTACATTTGCTGCCTTCCTTCCTTAAATAAGGGCAATAATTGCCACCTGTTTTTCAAAGAATGAATGACCTCACTAATAGAACTCCACACTGCTATTATTTTGAACATGCCCCTTTCAATTAGTGATTCAATTACACAGAATCAGCAGCATGCATGTCATGACTGTTGGGTCTGTTGGATTTCTATTACTCTACTACACCTGCTAGTAAATTATTTGCCATGTAGAAATAGAATTTCCACCAAAAACAGTGATCAGGTTAGTGATGTCTGACTGCTATTATTTTAAACAACTCTCTCTCTCTCTCTCTCTATATATATTTTATTAAAATAAACATTTACAACCACTTTAAACTAGTATTTTTTTTCTTTAAGCATAGCTTCGCCTAATGCCCCAAGTTGATTTAATTGGTATACAGAACTACACAGAACTTTATAAACTAAACTTTTTTTCATGCTAAAGGTTTTCCAATCAGATCTCAGCTCTCCAACTCCTTTGGAGTTTTCCTCAGAGGCTGATAAACGTCTGCACATCCCAACAAAACACTGCGCTTTGTGGTAAGAATAAGATTGTGTTGCACATCCTTCATCCAAACCAGACTACATTCAGAAAGAACTAGTGTGGAATTTAAAACCTGCACCAAATGGATATTTCAGTTTCATGTAAATGGTGATATGATATTTTTCTAGGAGACACACCATGATGTTGCTGTAAAATCGCTACAGTCCACCCATCTGTCATAGCCATCACAACAAGCAGTGCTCACTTTTTTTTTTGCTTGGGTTCTGCCTGTGAGATACTAAGCAACTTGGGTCAGACATGGGACATCTTGCGGCTTTACTCCCAGAGAAGGCTAGTAAATTATTCAAATCACCAGTGTTCTTCTATAACAGAAGTTTTAAGTGAACTGACCCTTAATCTACAAGGTTATTTGCCTCACCATCATCTTCGCTTCTCTCTCCCGTCAGCTCCACAGACTCTGCCAGCGATGCCAGAGAAGTGCGTCTAGAAGATGCCGCAGAAGCAATACTGGGTTGTCTGCTCCCAGGGAGCCTGGAAATCCAGTGGTCACAAAGTGATGAGCTTGTGGAACCTGCAGAGCATAAATATGGATAAAAGCATTAAAGACTCAAAAAAGTCAGTGCAAAGCCCCTTTATAACAGAATCATTGAGCACTACTCAAATCAAAGTTTTACTAGAACATAAAGATCTGTTGATCCTGCCATTGACTTCCCTCTTCCTTCAGAAAATCTGACAACATTGCAGGGACCGTAGTAAATTCACTGCAACATTGTCATCAGCAGCAGCCACCAAAATGGAGCTTCATCATAACACACAAATCAGAGCTGACCATCTAATCCGTAAGGGCGACCTGCATCTGGACTAATGGTGATGTCTTAGATCCTGCCTCCAACAGGACCTTGGTGGCCCTGTGATGTTACAGAGGAAGAGAGGATTCCTTCACTCGGTGGAACAGGTTACATAAAAAAAACCAGATTGCCATTACTAGGTAGAACTGCAAAGTTGAAATGAAGTCAGATGAAATGTTTAGCTTATTGCTCTCATAATGAAATCCTTTAGGCGAAAAAATGAGAACTTTTTTAAGACTGCCAACGGTGAACTGCTTCAGAAAAAAAAAAAAAAAAAAAAAAAAAAAAGAGGGTTTTGACTTTCCTGTAAATTCCAAATCTTGCAGTACAGGACAGAGGCAACATATTCATAAACTATGGGTTATAGGCTCATACCTTCAGGTGATTGGACAGTAGGGTGCCTCCCCTATAACCCTACACCACTCTGCGAGTTCTCAGTTTTCAAGCAAGCAATGTGAGTAAACACATACAGCCTATTCATGCACAATGAGATGCAAGAAATACAAACAGTGGGCAACAAAACTAGGCACACGGAACTGCTAACAGGTCCAAACCATACAGTGCATCCAGAAAGTATTCACAGCGCTGAACTTTTGCCACATTTTGTTATGTTACAGCCTTATTCCAAAATGGATTAAATAGATTTTTTCCTCAACATTCTACAAACAATACCCCATAATGACAACGTGAAAAGTTGGCTTTGAAATCTTTGCAATTTAGTAAAAAAAAAAAAAAAAAAAAAAAAAAACACATGTACTTAATTATTCACAGCCTTTGCCATGACACTTGAATTGAGCTCTGGTGCATCCTGTTCCCACTGATCATACTTGAGATGTTTCCACAACTTGACTGGAGTCCACCTGTGGGAAATTCAGTTGATTGGACATGATTAGGAAAGGCATAAACCTGTCTATATAAGGTCCCACAGTTAACATTGCAAACCAAGTCCAAGGAATTGTCCGTAGACCTCCGAGACAGAATTGTATCAAGGCACAGATCTAAGGAAGGGCATTGAAGGTCCCAATGAGCACAGTGGCCTCCATCATCCATAAATTGAAGTGTTTCGGAACCACCAGGAATCTTCCTAGAAAGGGCTGCCCGGCCAAAATGTGTGGTCCCGGGAGAAGGGCCTTACCCTGATAGGTAACCAAGCACCTGATGGTCACTCTAGAAGAGCTCCAGCGCTTCTTCCAGAAGAACAACTATCTCTGCAGCACTTCACCAATCAGGTCTGTATGGTAGAGTGGTAGAGACAGAAGCCTCTCCTCAGTAAATGGCAGCTCGCCTGGAGTTTGCTATCGGGCACCTGAGGGACTCTCAGACCATGAGAAACAAAACTGTCTGGTCTGATGAAACAAAGATTGAACTCTTTGGCCTGAATGTCAAGCATCATGTCTGGAGCAAACCAGGCACCGCTCACCACCTGGCCAATACCATCCCTACAGTGGAGCATGGGGGTAGCAACATCATGCTGTGGGGATGTTTTTCAGTGGTAGGAACTGGAAGACTAATCTGGATCGAAGAAAAGATGAATGCAGCAATGTACAGAGACATCCTTTATAAAAATCTGTTCCAGAGCGCTCTGGACCTTAGACAGGGGTGACTGTTCATCCTTCAACAGGCCAACAACCCTAAGCACACAGCCCACATAACAAAGGAGTGGCTACAGGCTAACTCTATGAATGTCCTGTAGTGGCCCAGCCAGAGCCCACACTTGAACCCGATTGAACATCTCTGGAGAGATATGAAAATGGCTGTGTACAGACGCTCCCCATCCAACCTGATGGAGCTTGAGAGGTACTGCAAAGAAGAATGGGAGAAATTGCCCAAAAATGTGTGTGCCAAGCTTGTAGCATCATACTCAAAACGACTTGAGGCTGTAATTGGTGCTAAAGGTGCTTCAACAAAGTATTGAGCAAAGGCTGTGAATACTTATGTACATGTGGTTTTGTTTTTTATTTTTAATAAATTGCAAAAATTTCAAAACAAACTTCTTTCACGTTGCCATTATGGGGTATTGTTTGTAGAATGTTGAGAAAAAAAATTAATTTAATCCATTTTGGAATAAGGCTGTAACAACAAAATGTGGCAAAAGATAAGCGCTGTGAATACTTTCTGGATTCACTGTAACAGGTGTCAAAAACCCAAGTTAACAGTGTCGCTGCAAAGAACCTTCTGGCCAAAATCTGCATTCGCAAAAACTGAACGTCCACCTAGTAAAACTATGAAAAATTTAAACAGAAGACAAGGTGGTGGCCTTACACATTTGGGCTACAGAGGCCTGGTGCCGAAAAGCCCAGGAACCTCCTACAGATCTAGTGAGATGAATGCAGAACAGTGCAGGGGGTGTTTTCTTAAGAGCGTAAGCTCTTGCAATCAGGTTGTTCATCCACTGTGCAATAGTGAATTTTCAAGCCTGGTGCTGAGGCAGCGTTGGCGGGTTCTCAGTCTAAGAGTTGGGCAATATGGTTCGACTCACTGGAAACATTTCGGAGGCAAATCGCTGTCCTAAATGGGCTGGGCCTTCCATCTCATGGGGCGTGTGCTGGGCCGAGCTGTGAAACTGACTGGGCAGGATCAAGTGTATACTTTGTCTGGGAGGTGGATCAGATATTGGGGGCAGAACCTGTGCAGAGGTGGGCAGCTCCCTGTCTCAGTTGGACAGGGTGTAGAAAGCTGTCCACACAACGCTTTGCTCTCAGAGTGATCAGTGTTTGGGTGGGAGGACGACGGAGCATCACGCCATGGGCTGCACAGTGAGCGCTGAGGAAAAAGCGACTGTTCCACGCAACCCCCCCTCCTATATATCCCAGGCACAGCAGGGACTGAGACCAATGTAACAGGTGATTTCTTACTGCTGTCCCTGCTGACAGTTTCCCTGGCCATCAAGGCCGAGAAAGAAAGTAATGCAGTGCGATGTGCATTGCATTATATTCAGTGGAGCACAGGGGAGACATCCAGGGTCTTTTAGACCCTGGATGTTTCATTAAAGAGAAGCTGCCATCAAAAAGTCATCACATAGGGGACTTTTTGTCACCAATGTGAAAAGTTAAAAAAAAAAAAAAAAAAAAAATGTTTTAAATAGTAAAAATTTGAAGTTACACCCAAGCACAAAAAATCCCCTCCCCCCAATATATGCCCAAACGTAAATGCTCCAGGGCGCCTACTCCTGGAAACGATGACTGCAATACACGGTACATATGACCGGAACTAGAGCAATAATTCTAGCACCAGACCTCCTTCACAACACTAAATAAAGTTTTGCTAGTTTAAAAAACAAAAAAAAAAAAAAAAAAAAACTACTAACTTTTTTAGCTGGCTCCTAGATTCAAAGCAAATTTGTCAAGCCCTAATCTATAGTGTGTACTTGTCCCAACCTAGAGCACATAATGTGATTTCTCTCTGCTGCCTTGTTCCTATACTGTGAGTCATGTCTAACCAGTCTTCCTGATGCCAAGAGGTAAAAAAGGTGACAGGAAGGGAACTCTTGAACACAGTCCATGATTGACAGCCTCAGTTCTGTTCCTGTGTGCTATGAGAAGGGGGGGGGGGTATCACTCCTCTCCAATCAGCAACTTCAGCACCTGCACTCTGCTTTCTGAAAGCTCACACAAGATGTATCAATTCTGCACTTTGAACAGATGCAGAGAAGAGATGAGTGCAGCTAACAGGTCCAATTTATATAGAAGGATTTTTTTCATCTCTGTATCACCTGAGGCTAGTCACTTTACTTTGTAAATGCTTACATATTTACCACCACTAAATATAAAATCTCTTGCCAATATCTCTGGATCCACTGATCATTTTAACAAGAAAAACCTGGGTTTACATATTGTTTTCATAATTTGATCATTTGTATTTGTCCTGGTCTATGCCAAATTTTAGTTGAACTTGATATAAAAAAAAAAAAAAAAATCTAATCATTTTAGAAAAAGAAAGAAAAACACATACCGGTACATATACATCCGTTACCTCAATACCTATTAATAAGACATACATGTTCTACTTCCTATCCATACAGCATTACTTGTATGCCTGGAGGGAACTACTGCTTGTAAAATTAGGACAATCTGGACAGACTGTTCTAAACCAAATTTAGAAATTTTTGCCCCATGTGTAGTGTTTTGAAGATGTGCTCGGGTTAATAAACATGGAAATTTTTTTTTTTTGAGTGTCATGTGTAAAACACATTCTATACAAATGAAAATGGAAAAGGAAAAAAAAAAAAAAGCAAGCAATGGAACTCTACCTAGGTTTCCATAATCTGAAACGAAGGTTACGAGTACATATTATTACAGCAGCCCGGTGACAAGATATTCATAATCCTTCTGGATATTTTTTTGTACTTAGCTGTGATTTGGTCACAGCTAATCATATGACATGTGCATGTGACCTGCTGTGACCATTCACAGCTAGGCACTAGTATACAATGGATGGCATGAATGAAGCCATCCATTGTATACAACTGTCATGTGACCTGCTGTGATTGGTCACAGCAGGTCACATGGTACCAGCAACGGGAGCCGGGACTCGGATCTGTCATCGGCCGTGTCCGAGGTACACGGCCGGTGACAGATCGCGCTGCTGCGCCGCTCTGCAGTTACGCGAACTGAGCATGTGCGGGAGCACGCCAAATGGCGTGCACCCGGAATGCAGAAGCACTTTTGCCGCCGCCAAACAGCCATTGGCCGGGCGGCAAATGGTTAAGAGAGACTGTTAAGAAAGACAGAGTTTTTTTATTTTTTTGCAAACAGTTCTCATGTTTTAACAGTACCGGGAGCTGATATTACAACCAAAACACTCCTGCTCAGCAGTCCAGCACTTTAGCCTACGAAAATGAACTGCCATGAGCAACATGCAAGAATTGAGATGAGAGACGTCTAGCAAACTATCACAGCTTGAACGTAATGTATTTGTGAAGCCAAAAGAAAACCCTCAAAAGAAAAGAAAAAAAAAAAAAAAAAAAAAAAAAAAAAAAAGAGAAAGGAGCAGACTCCGTTAACTACTTAGTCTTTTTCTGATGTCACTCTTCTAGTTTATCAAGTGCAGTATGAGCTGGAACTGGGAGTTTTCGCTACAAAAGCTGCATGGCACTGGCAGAGATGCACCGTGAAGATTTGAGGAAGGGGCCTGAAGGTATATATTTTACTACCAGAGCTTCAATGAGTTAGCAGTTAGCCTTTAATCATGGCTGCAGTTAACATTTACTATGTCTATGGATTAAGCAGGAATAAAACATACCTGCCACAGAACTGTTTGCTGACCAGGATGGCACTGCTGCGCGTCGCTGATAGAAAAGGATATAAGCCGTTGGCTTGCACACTTCATCTTCTGCAAGTGCCTGCACTTCGCTGTCATCAAAGCAGTACCACATGCCATCCACAGAGTTCTTACAGTAAGCTGAAACAAAAACAAGAAGGTTACAGCAGGAGCCATGTCCGTTATGCTTTCACTACAAGTATCAGCATGACAAAATTCTTTTGACTCCTCTGATGAAGTCATGAGACCAGTAACAATGTGTGTGGGGCAGAGCTAGACGATGGCAGGAGGAGGACAACTTGATGTGTGGCAAATGTGTTGGATGCACACTAGGACTTTTTAACCTATGTAAAACGGAGTGTAGTTTTAAATAAAATCCATGTGCGTTTTACATGCTACACAGTAGCATCATCTATGTGGCTCTGAGTTAATTTTATAGACACACAAAGTGACATTACTGAGAATTTAGCCACTTGCCTACCGGGCACTTCTACCCCTTCCTGCCCAGGCCAATTTTCAGCTTTCAGCGCTGTCGCACTTTGAATGACAATTGCGGGGTCATGCAACACTGTACCCATATAAAACAATTTTATAATTTTTTTCACACAAATAGGAGCTTTCTTTTGGAGGTATTTAAATCGCCAATGGGCGTTTTATTTTTTGCGCTATAAACAAAAAATTAAAAAAAATTAAAAAAAAAAAAAAAAAAAAAAAAAAAAAAAAAGTTTGTTTCTAGTATAAAATTTTGCAAACAGGTAATTTTTCTCCTTCACTGATGTGCGTTGAGGCTGCACTGATAGGCAGCACTGATGCGGTGGCACGGATTGGCACTGATAGGCAACATTAATGAGCTGGCACGGATGATGTTGCACTGACTTACGGCACTGATGAGCACAGGTGGGCGGCACTGATCTAAATTTTATGTAGTTATTCTGTGTGTGTATAAATAATGTTGACAATCATGCCTGCTCTTTTTGTCTTTACCTTTAACTGGTGCTGCAAGCAGGAGATCTGTTATAAATACCTGTATAGTGACCACCTTGCATGGTTCCATGGTGGTTGCAAACAGCATACAGATCATATATGAAGTCCTCAGGATCCCGGCCAAGGCCATAGGGTCTTCTCCAAGGTGACCAATGTGATGGTAGACTCCAAGAGCTCTGACTGCGCTTCACCACATGAGGGGTCATATCTAACCCCACCAGGGGAAAGCGGATCATATTCTGCAACTTCATCCTTCGATCTGCATCCTAAGCAGACATAATTAGACTGGTGATTATCTACTCTCACATAGCAGATATGAGAAGTAGACAAATGTAAGAATTCTCAACTCATTCTGAAATTAAAGAGGTTATCAAGGAGAGAATGAAGCTTCTACTTACACACACACAGGAAGGCTGTTTAGCGATTAGGATAAACCACACACTTGAGATCTCTAAGCATAGGATAGTTGGGGTGGCCATTTACCCAATGTCTGTAGTGCTGGGTTCAATGCGGTTTCTTATGCAAATCACAAATACATGGAACATGCACATTTTCAACTTCAGATGGAAGGTTTGCAAGACTGCATGGAGAATATCCAACAGCCTCCAAAAGGTATCCCTTAAATGCTCAGCCCTAACCTGAGTGTTATATCTGCACTGAAGCAAACATATTATGGTGTGGTCTTATGCTATTCAGATCATTTACACAGGATGACAGGGCCTTTAATCTGCCCATAGATGGATCTAATCTCGGCCGGTTCAGCAGGGACCAGACGAAATTTGATCAATCTATGGGCAGACTGATTGTACCCAAGCCGATTCATCAATTGACTTGGGTACAACCAGCACATCAGATTTTTAACATTTGATTATAGCCGCTAGCAGTAATCAATGTGGTCTCCTGGCAGGGATGGCCTCCTCCCGGGAGAACACAATAGCTCAGCGGGAGGGATTCCCCCAACAACACTGACTGTGTTGATTGGGGAATCAAGGGATTGTTTTTCCTGCAACCATGCCAGACCCTCATAATCTATGGCCTGCCTAAGTGAAGTCTAAAGCTAGCCATGCACCAGTAGATTTTTGAATGAACATTTGTATGAAAATTCTCATGCATGTCAAAAGTACTTCAAAATTTTGTTTACTTTTAACATTCAATTTTAGAGTGAATGGAATTTTCCAAATGTTAAGAAATTTAGTCATTCAAAAAACATTTTCCACTCTGCTCCTAAGAATGTTCTCATCATTGTGGTATAAAACAAATGTCAATTTGACCCCACTAACTATTTGAAAGTTGAATGAATATTCCTTAAATACAGTTTTCAAACCAAGTTCTTCTAGTGTATGCTCAGCTTAAAGAAGAATTCCAGGTATGGATATATTTACATTGTTTCATCGGACCTGAGCTGGAATGACATGCAGGGCAAATGCCAACTATAGCAGAGGACATTTAATAGTATCAAACCACAAATACACATTAGACTACAGTTAAGACATACAAGTAACATCAGTGTAATAGTTTAGTACATGCAGTAGGAGTAGAAAAAGCCAAAAATGTTGGCTGGCAGTGCAGTAAGTAGCACACTTGCATTGCATACACTAAGTGGTCAGTTTGCCAATATTTTAAAAAGAAATATTAAATAAGATCTCAGCAAAAGTGAAAAAAACTTGGAGATCTAAAGTAAATTATATTCTCAAAGGCTGAATTCTATGCCATTTATTTCGGTTTCTGAAACACATCTAATATGGCTTAATCAAATACCTATTGTGGATGATGATTTTTTTTTTCTTTATCCAAACAGGTATTTACGATGATCCTTCATAATTTTGTATATTGATAAACACAGGACTTCATTATACAGAAGCCACTTCTGTTTATTCACTTTACGAGTGTATAGTTCTGTACAGCTATGTTTTCAAGAAGTTACCACATATATGCTGAAATAGTGAATGCTATGCTATCAGGTCAGATAGACAGCCTACCTGAAAACTGAAAGTGCGCAGACTGACAACACTGTTGCTAACTGCAATGCAGTAGCTTAGCACTGTCAGCCTGAAAGATTAAGTGATGAATCTCTGGGCAAAAGTCACTGCAGATTTGCAATAAAAACAATATTATATAGCAAGGCATAATGCAAAACACATAGAAAAAACAGATTTTGGGTTTACATTAAAAAAAAAAAAAAAAAACCTGACAAAAGTACATCTTATCCCTTTTCCCTTATTGCATTGACGGTGCACACAATTATTTTTAGTTAAAACTGATCTGTCACCCAGAACAATGTACACTGTGCTTTTTCTAAGGACAGTGTACAGGAAGGGAACTTCCCTAAAGCAGAACAGAGGACGATACTACCACTACTAGAGAAGCCATGTTCTTTTCTGGATTGAGATCTGGTAAAATATAACAAGATTAGAAGAAGTGGCTACACACAGAACTAAAACTCAAATCCTATCCATGTATATGAAAGTCAATGGAGACATTGTAAGACTGTCCTGAAAAATATAGGCTTATGATTGTTTATGTTAGGTGTCCATTTTATGTGCTACTACCTACTCATACAAGAAGCAAACCTGCACTAGAAATAATTGCTTAAAGTGTATTTCCCTCCAATAAAAAATAAGACTGATACAGCTTACATGTAAGAAATAATACAAGGACGCAAGTCAAACCGGGACTTTTGGGTTTATATATTAAAAGAACAAATTTCAAGGAGTGAAAACTGCATATATTTTTCCCACATACTCTCCTGCTACATTTATACCAGCATTTAACTAATGCCTGGAAAGCTTCGGCATAGAATAATTGTCAGTACACCTGAACTATCCTAGGACAGCCTTCTTTACTTTGTCATGACTGTGTTCACTGTTTCGAGATTAGTCTCTTACGCAATTTCACGGCAGGTTATGCGTTGATTATTTAGGATCAGCTGTTCTACATGCGCAATGTTCACAGGAATAACTGCTGTGGGCTGGGGACCACCACGGCCAGGATCGTCACTGACAGACGTGCAGCCATCTTTGAAACATTTACACCATTCAAATGTCTTATGCAGGCCATACATGGGTCGAATACCAAACTAATTTTCTTTAGAAAAATCGGAAAATTTTGTGCGTTTTGTAATCCGATGGTTCCACCATTGATTTTGAAATTTCTCCATATGTTGCTACAGAAAAGAATTTTCGTGGCCAAGAATTTTGTTTTCTTTCCAGGTCACAGCTTTATATTTCTTGCACGATTTTTCCATGTTTGATTCGAAATGTTAGTTTTTCAAAAAATTTCCAGCATGTCTGATCACTCAAATTTGATGGTCACACGAAAATCGTTGTTTCTGTGACCCACTAATGGTGCAAAATTCAAACAAAAATTCTTGGAAAAGAATTTCGAAAGAAAATTATTCGGAATTCAACCCATGTATGGCCGCTTTACTGTGGCTGAGAGTCTTGTCACTGTACTGTGCTGGAAGTCTTCTGTGGATATCCGTGGGTTTTACGCCTTCGTTCACAAGGAGCTTCATCACCACCACACGCTGTTCCATGCACGCACTAACACGGTTCTCTGCCAGCTTGATTAATGGTCTCTGAACTGGCTGGCAACATGTGCGCTGTCTACCAGTAATAAGACGCACTACCACTTACTGCTGCGTGTAGTACCGCCACGCTAGCATCCCTTTTTATACGTGTAAAATGAAAAGTCCCAGTTTGACTTGAACGCCCCTCGTATATATACTTAGCAAGCTTATTTACATGATAGTCTATGCACCCCAAATTTGGATTCTGTACTCATTTGTTTGTCTATCTGCAAGAATCAAAAGGCAAAAGTACCTCAAAGCCATACTAATACAAAGCAAGGAAATGTCATATTGCAAAAAATCCCCTTCAATATCAGTAGATGTAAAACCGTTGAAGGATGTGAAGCTGGCAAGAACAGATGGGTATACACCCAGCAAAGGAAGGTTAATAAAGCTAAGGATAGCAGGCTTCTAAAGCAGAAGACTAGTTAAAGCGTAGATCTGTTGTGGTGAGTTATTCATACATAGCAGAGGAAGGGCCAACTTACCTGTCGGAATCTCTTTAAATGTAGAATAAGAACGTCAGGCAGAGTCCACAGGCTGAGTTTAATGCTGCCCTGTTGAAGCTGTTTACAGTGAGGACAGCGCCAGGCATTGCCAGGAGCCAGCTGCAAATAGGCGGCATAAGCAATCAGGCAGACGGATCTACAAGCACTACACATAAAAAGCATGGGCAGCAAATGCACTAAAAAAAAAATTGATTTTTTTTGGTATTTACCCAACATAAAATCCTTTTCTTGGAGTCCATTGAGGTACACAGGAAGTCTTTCACCTTTGCCAGTGTCCAATCCTTCTGTAGGTGGCAGTATAACAAAAAATAACTGCGTGTGCGTGCGTGCGTGTGGGGGAAGGGGGTAAGCTCAAGACAACCCCTCCTACTACTTGCATGCCTCTGGTTTATAGCAAAGCAGGATTATAAAACACAGAGGACCCAGCTCCCTCAAAAGGACTGCAGAGTTAAAAAGAGGAAAAAAAAAAAAAAAGAATTTTATGAGAATACAAAAATCCTGTTTTCATTCCCATCCATTGAGGGGGCACAGGAAGTCATTCACATTTGTGATGTCCAAAAGAAATCCAACAGGTGGGGTGGGCAACACAGCAAAACAAATGCCAACAAAGCAACAACACAGAACTGGGGCCTCCCTGCAGCTTAGAAAGCCACCTAAAAGGACCTTATGCACAAAAGTAGAATCTGAGAAGACCTCAAAGTCCACCTTGAAAAACTTAAATTGTGTGAACAGAAGACAAGATAGCAGCCGTGCAAAGCTGAGGACTCCTGCAAACCTGAGAAACTGTAGCTTGGTTAAAAAAAAAGCTCAAGAAGCACTCTCAGATACAATACAGTGTGCATTGACAGGAAAGGGTGGAGACTTGGCTCATGGTCTGTCTGAGCCAGTGAGAAATAGTAGAGCTAGAACCAAACCCTTGAGTGGTCTCTGTCCAGAAATACAGAAAGGAAATCCATCTTTTTCAAAGAAGCAGTGAAGGAAGTGGCTAGAGGGATAGACTCTGAGCCTAAACAACATTCAGACAAGAGAATGAAGTTTCCTTTGGGTGAATAGGAAAGTAATAAAGAGATGGTCTTGGTTG